GGGGTGGGGTCTGTTAACGTTCGCTTGCACTTGCAAACCAAGTTGATACTACGTTGGGGATGGAGAAACGATTAAATATCCGGGTGTTTTTTGCTTCCGGGTCCCCGAACGAACTGTCATTTCACAATGGAGTTACGGTTTGAGAGGCGTTTTTGTGGTGTAAAAACACATACAAACTGACATTGAGCTAAAAAAGGCATCGCGATAAAGTGCCAGAGGGGTTGCGAAAAACGACTTGAAGATGCATGTGAGAACTCGCAAATCGCGTGGGGCTGTTGCAGCGGGCGTGACCTTGTTTTTGGAGACCATGCAGGTACACCCAAAACAATCTTGGCACCGCGACAGGAACGGCAGTCCATCTAACATCGATGCCCTTTGCCCCTAGTGGCGTCCTTGTTCCTAGTAGCGATGCCAGGAGCCCCTAGTAGCTTCTTGTTCCCAGTATGGAACGACAGTCAGTCTAACATTTGGAATGTGTTTGGATTGCGATAAGTTGAGGTCAGGCCCGGGCCATTGCTTTCTGCCCCTCCTCACTGTCTAGCAGCTCCTGCCACAGCAACCAACAAGCACACATGCGTTTCCTCTCCTGCACATACCTTTGCAATTGACAGGCAGCATGATGCACGCACAAAGCAAGACTGCTTCCTAGAGATTTGTGGGGAAGCATTGCCAAGGACAAAAGCAAAATGATCATCCATCCTTGCCCAAGTCAGTGAGGGTCTCCCTTCTTTCCCTCAGCTTCAGAAGCACATTCACTGTGGTCTCTCTATTATAGTACAAAGTGATGGCAGCAAAACTGGACGTATCCTCCATCTTGATGTGCAAAACCTCAAACCTCTACCATCTCATCTACCACCATCCAGGCTCGTGCATTAAAAAATCAATCCTTCGTCACTCACCACCTGACCGGGCTCTTGCGTTGAGCGACGTCGACCACCTGAGGCTCTCACAGTTCACCTTCCACCTGGCGGAGCCTGAGAACGCACATGAGGAGTCCGAAAAGGAAAGGACATAAGATAAGGGAAGTAAGGATGAGTTTCATCAGATTTCTCCAACTCAATGAAAAGAAGAAAGAGACAATGCGTGACGGACAAACTAAATCATGGTCCTCTCCAGTTATTTGGGAAGGGGGGATGGTAGCACAGAAGGACTCTTCCTTCAACAATAGTCACTTGCATAACCTATAACCAAGTCATAATCCAGGGTGCACGACTTGAATGGATGGAACTATCCACCCTCTCTCCCCCGAGTCCACCACGCCGATAGCATCACCGAACATATTTTACTCCACATGCAAACCGGTTGAAACTCTGGCCTTGTGCACGCAGCATCAGATGCAACCACAATCCTGGCAACCTGCAATCAAAGCTGGATCAAACATGATCAAACAACACCAACACTGAGATGTGAACTTCCTATTACAAATGAGGCGTCCATCGGCTCTCAAACAAGAGCGACCGACAACCCCCACGAGGTTCAATGTAGAATTAAAGGGAACACCGCTCGCAATAGAATAAAAAGCACCTCTTCTTGCAGGGAAAACAGCCTCAGTGCTTCACGACACACAAACCACCACAAATCACAAACCCAACCGACATTAGCAGGCTGACGTAGAGCGGCTATCATCAATTGAAAAGAGGACTTGAAGAAAACCGACGGTGAAGCCAGCCAGGATGTATCAAAGCAACCTGTTGGTGGGCTATTCTGATTTGGATGTGTTAAAATGACGTCCCACAACAAGAAGCAAACATTGATGGCATCAATCCAGCGCTGAGTGAAGGCCTCTCAAAAACATCAAAAACATACCGACTCGTACTGGTAATTAACCCCCTACTTACACGTTTGTTGAGAAGACTTCTCAGGCCCTGGCTCCCTCGCTGGCTGGTGCATCAGCAATTCCTGTCCCATGACTATAGCCAATAGTTGACTTTGTAGCACAAGGAACTGTATGAAAGAGAAGCGAGGATCTAACGGACATTAATGGAATTCAAAGATATGCAAAAAAACTCATTGAGACCTCTTGAATCCCACGGGTTAACAACAAGTTGACACTACAATAGCTGCAGCTGAAGTCCTTTACACGTCCTCTCAGTCCTTTCTTTCCCACCTCTCAACTCTGGAATGTCCCCCCCATCCGCCCAACCCCACAAAACCCAAGGCTCGCACCACGAAGTGAAGTTCCACTGCCGGCTTGTCATCCAACGTCTCGGCCCTGAATGTCTTCGCAGCGCCCGCTCGACGTGCGCGCACGCGAAAAGAAATTGTAAAAGGGGGGTTCTGGGGAGGATTTGTTGGTGTGTTGCTTGTTATGATTCTTTGTTGATGTTCAATGTGTTTTCCTTGCTGTTGATGTTTTATGTGTGAGGGGTTCTGGGGTTTTTGGGGTTCTAACTTTTCTGGGGGCAGATGGTTTTAAGATGAGGTGGATGATTGTTGTTGCTGTTGTGTTCTATTTCTAGGTCAGGGTTTATGGGTTGTAACTATGCTGTGGTTATAGGTTGTAAAGCTTTATGGGTTGTAGTTATGGTGTGGTTATGGTGCCTTTTAGTTTTCAGGTGTTTGCTCATATCTGCCTTTCTTGTCACTGAACCACATTCACATTCAATCTTTTCTGTTCTTTTTTCACTTAACAGCAAATGCCGTAAATACAAATCAGTATTATTCATCAAACCTCACAGCGGATACTACTTGGACACACAACGCCACTGAATATATGAGATATGATTATACCAATTCAACCCTTGAAATGAAGCAAGAACTACAAGTCAAAACGGATTTAAAACAAATACTATTGACAGTTTAACCGATACAAATTTCGTGATGTCAAGAAACTAACAGCGTTGAGTATCTACAATTTCAATCAGCACCTGAAAGGATCGTTTTAAACAAATTTGTTGAAATACACGGTGGAAGAGATAAAAGTAAAATGTTTGAAGGTGTTGAAGGAGCACTGAATGTATTGAGAAATAGAAATATGGATGAGACTAATCCCTATACATATAATAATGACTTGCTCTGATGGCACATCTACGAATAACCTAACAATGACAAAGGGACAGGTTGCTGTTTCTACTAAAGTTGGTTGTAATTAGTATGATAGTAATGATAATAACGATGGTTCATTCAGAAGAAATGGATGTGAGTACTTCAAATTGGATGATGCTAATAAAATTGTAAATGTGGCATCAACTATAGGTGTATCAACTGGTGATATGTATGCTAATAACATGAAGAACAGGTCAGATGCAACAGACACAATCTTTTATGGCTCTCATAGCAATGGAACAAGTCCATCAGTTGAATATATGAGATATTACCACTTGAACTCTGTTTTAAACATTGCTTCTGGTATAGCCTTTTCAGGTGGTTTGAATTCAGATATTTTGAACACGGCGACCAATACAAATTTACAGATACAAAGAAGCGGCAATACCTACATCACCTTAACCACTGATGATAGAATAACAATGGATAGGAGAACGGACATAACAGCAAGTGGTATAG